AATTGAATTGAATTAAATTGAAAACTACAAGAAACACTGTTTTGTTTCTGCGACTCATTACTTACAGTGATAATGTCATTCTTCCTGAAGCCCAGTTCATCGTCATCGTGTCGCTCAAAGTCCAGCAAAGCCTTTGCCCGTCTCCGTCGGTTGCGAGACACCACAAGAAAGTTTTCATGATCTCGCTGATGGCTCTCCATGGAGTAGTCAGGAGTCAGTTCCTAGAGAAACAAGATGGGAGAAGTAAGCTCAAAATGGATGGAGGTATCCATACTGAATGCTGTTTTTGGTTGATTTATAGTCCACAGGGGACATATACCACACTGTTCCTTGCTGCAGTGTGTGAACTCACAGAACTAGAGTGACGTGGGTCCAGACAGTGGAAGTGCTCTGCAGTGCGGGCAATGGCCTCTCGCAGGGCTGCCACCAGCTCGGTCTGTTTAATATTCTTGGATTTCAGGGCCTCTGCCTCATCCTCCCCAAACAGCAGGGAGCTCAGGGTGGACTTCCTGCGGAGGGACTGTCTCCTCACCACCTGAACATATATAAATGCAGGATAAATGATTAGATTTTTTTTTACTATTTTAATAAAAACCTAGGACACATAATTGATACTTCACACCACTTTCAAATTTGACAACAACTGACCTTATTGAGATTGGTGTTGAGTGTTGTGTTGTTTCCATTGTTGAGCTGCGTCTGTTCATTTAGGATGTAGGCTAAGTGCTTGTGTCGGTGGGCTTCCAGGGTTTCCTGGGATAGCGTCCCTGCTAGTCTCATAGCCTCCCCGAGAACTGCAGGCCCATCTCTCAGCTGGCTTGGCAAGTCTGATAGAGTATTAAAAATGGACGCAGAGTTCTCTGATGATATGAGCTCCTCCTCCTGGGGTCAGGGAGTACATTTCACAAGGATTAATCCTCAACATAAGCAGGTTTTTTTAAATAGTAGAAGTAGCCAATCAATATTTGGTGTGGGATGGTTTCTAGCTGTAGTAGAGAATAAAGTCTGTTGGCATTAATTGCTGTAACATGACCTTTAAATAAATAGAAACTATCATTGTCATCATCTGCTATAGAAGAAAAATCAATTCAGCACACACAGAGAGACCAAAACAATAAAATAAGTCAGCATTTCAGCAAAGAGTAAACTGTATCACGGAGTCAAGACCTACAAAATACTGTAGGTGGTGTAGTGCTAATACCTTGATCTTGAGCATGCCCAGCGTAACCTGGAAGAGCACCAATGAGCCCTGGTAGAAGAGCAGGTCCCAGATCCTAAGGAGCAGGCGAATGTCCACGACACTGGCAAATGATGTCAGGAACCAATGCAGTGTGATCAGCGACAACTCTGGATGGGGGGGGAAAAAAAAAAAAA